GTTCAACCATGTCGATAAATCATAGCAAAAAGCTTTAAGTCTTCGGAAATGTGAAAAAAATTGAGTGACACCCATATCTGTGAAAATGTAACCGGGGCGACACCCATGTGAGAGAACATCTGGAAAACGGAGCTGTGCGTCACGGCAGCGGTCACCCCGACATTCAGTCACCCCGACATCTGGGCACCCTGACATCCGGTCACCCCAACATCAGGCAGGCCTGCCTCCCTCCACGCCTAACTGCGTTCCCCTCGCAAGTCCCCGCAGCGGACTGAACCCCAAGCCGGCCCGAGGGTTCGGAGGGTGTTTTTCTCTCCCCGTTTGTGGTTTATTAATGTTCGCCAGACACGGGGAACCTCTCTCTGCTCAACGCACCTCGTCGCTTCTTTTTGCCTGAAACAAAGACACCCTGATAAATGGATCGCTTGACACTAAGGCCTCTTCTAAGCATCGCCCCGGTCTGCTCTGCCGGGACCACACAGTGTGGTCTGCAGTGTAGGGACGTTAGGACTTTTCCTTGGAAAGAGCAGATGCTTAGGCTCCCCTCTGAGCCCTTGGGCAGGCACAGCCCCCTCTTCTCTGGGAGGACCCCAGACTCTCTCAGGGGCTTCTCCATCAGGCCCCTCGAAGTGTGACGAGTCAGCGGGGCCTTTCGCAGACCAGCTCTCCACGGCTCCCGACCCCTGGCCGTCACCCGCAGGAGCGGAGGCCCTGGGGAGGCACAGAGGGAAACAGCTCCGGGCGGACATCGCTCCCAGGTGCAGAGTTTGCACCTCCTGACGCCGAGCTTGGCAAACGGCCGGCGTGGTGGCCAGGTGGCCGATGCCGCCATATCCATCCCTGCAGAGGGGCTTGGAGTCCAGGTCTACAAGTGTCTGCGAGGGCTCACGCCAGGGTACCCTCCACCCCACCCCCCAAAACGGTGTATCCGCTTCCTAATGCTAACACATTACCACAAACTTAGTAGCTTAAAACAAGAAAAACAATCCAACTCCGGAGTCAGAAGTCTAAGGTGAAGGGGCCGGCAGCGCTGTGCTCCCTCTGGACACCTCCGAGGAACCTGTGGCCCCGCCTGGTCCGTTTCCGAGGGGTCACCCGCACACTGGCCCTGGCCCTGCCCCCTCTCCAGAGCCAGCGCTCGCGGCCCCTCTTCCCTGTGACCCCCGCCCCCTCCTCAGCAGGACCCTTGTGACGACGTCCGCCCACCTGGATGACCCAGGGCCATCTCCCATCTCAACATTTTCAACTGAGTCACACCTGCCGAGTCCCCTCTTTCCACATCAGGTGACATATTTGTAGGTTCTGGCAACTGAGAAAGACACCTTGGGAGGGGCCTGATTCAGTCTCCCGCGGACGGCATTCGCGAACTTGTGGAGGGGTTTTAGTCGTCACAATGACCAGAGGGAGAAACACCACGGGCGCTCACAGTGGGGTCCAGCTCTGCTAGATGTCCTCAAGGCACAAGACAGTGCCCCCGGTCACTGCCCGGTCCCGCGTGACCTCTGTGGCCCCACTGGACACTCGTAAGCGTGAGAAACCTACTCCAAATATCTGAGCCAAGAACCTATCTCAGATGCCCCGAAAAAGCTGAGGGAGAACAGCGACTTAACACACTGTGCATTTGCCAGTTTTGCGACTACTGGGGTGAAGATCTGATTTTGTACCACTTTACTAAAAATGTGTTCATCTTTTTGCAAAATTGCATCAAAACTGTCCAATCTGCTGGCGCAATCCGAGTTCCTCAAGCTCAGCCTGAGCTGGTGGCTGACACGTCCACGGAGCCTCTGAGAACAGGAGCCAGGGTCTGACCACTTCACTGGGGCTCCGAGACACACATGTTAAAATATTATTTGACTACAGGTCACTTTGGCCCTATTTTCGCCTTTATGAAGTTAGGGCACTATACTGATTCGTTTTTTAATTATATATATCGGCAGTTCGTTGGTTGCAAATGTAATTCTATGACATATGAAGGGGAGGGCTGGAAATGACTAGTCTAATTCAAGGGTCGGCAAATTTCTTCTTCAAGGGCCACATCATAGACACCTGAGGCTTTGCAGGTCGAGGCAGAATCAGTATCACACAGGTACCTACGCCGTTTAAAGTGTGACCACTTACGGTCGCGTGGTGCCATCCCCACACTCATACCCCCGTCATGTAGCTTGTGGGCCAGTGCTTCTCATTTAGGGGCACTTGCGCTGCCGAGGATATTCGGCAATGTCTGGAGATGCTTTGACATGGTTGGGGCGGGGGGAACGCTACTGGCACCTAGTGGATGGAGGCCAGAACGCTTCTCATTACCTTCCACACACAGGACCGCCCTCAACACAGAGATGCCTGGCCCCAAAGTGAACAGTGCCGGAGGCTGGGGACCGTGCCCTAAGCTGATCTGGGCCCCCGAGCTGTGAGCGGAGGTCTGCGGGACTCCTGAGAAAGACGCGCCCTCCCTCCTGAGAGAACCACAGAAGCACCTGTCTTTCTCCCCAGAGGCGAGGGAGGGTCCGAGTCACCGCGTGGATGCTGACACCCACCCCAAACTCCCAGTGGAATTCCCAGAGTCAGCGGCGGGCAGGCCCGGCAGAGGGATCCCGGGTCGTGGCCACGAGGAGCACTGCATGAGCACACCCGCCTCTCGGCCCCGCACCGTCCTCCCGGACGCGTGAACCGGCGCACGCGTCCTCGGCGCCTGGGGCTTCGCTATCACTTCCAGCCCAAAGCGTCTAAAGTGACGCACTTCGGCTTTGCCCAGACCGAGGTCACGTGGCTTCATGAGTCTCGTAACGAAGGGACCGGCACGCTCTTTCTGCCAAGGCTCAGAAAGTGAATATGGTAGGCCCGCTGGGCCAGAGTCCTTCGACCCGCAGCCTCTCCCACAGCCAGGGACAAATGTGAACAAGTGGCCATGTCCGTGCTCCCAAAAAACTTTATTTATAAACACTGAAATCGGAACGTCACGGAATTTTCACGTCAGAAACCCTGTTTAAAAAAAGTTGTTTTTTTTTTTTTCTTTTCCTCCAGCCACGTACAAACGCAAAGCCATTCTCCTTCAGGGGGCCATGCGAGAACAGGGGGCGGGCTAGATTTGGGGTGCGATGTCTGACACAGACAAAGCGTCTCTTAAGAGGGGCGTTTTACAGAGACGATGCCTTTCTCGGTGTTTCTTTCAAGGCGCTTTTACATCGTGGGTCTATCTCATCGACCCAAAATGTAAACGCGGCTTTCACTATGCCTCCAAAACAGTCTAGAAACGTAAGCAAAAAAAAAAAAAAAATTTGATCAGCTTCAAGCATCAGGAGAGATTTAGAGTTGCCTAATGTGGGTGTTTATAGCAGAATTTAAATAACTGTATTTGCTGCTCATGTAGCCTATGGTTTGAGGATGTTTCACTGTGTCTTTTCAAAGAGAGAGGCATTTATTTATCACAGATGGTGGTATTATTTATGATGAAACCTTACATTAATTCTCAGAGTCCCAATTATCCCCATTCACGTAAATAAAAGGAAATAGCATTCCTGTTCTTTATGATGCTCTTTTGCCTCAAAAGTAAAGAGCTTATTTTTAATACGGCCCACATATTTTTCTTTCCCACTAATTACAGATAATTAAAAAAGAAACAAAACCTCTACACCCCGTTGAGTCATCTCCGTCCCCCACCCCCCGACACGCGGGTCTCGTTTGCCCGCCAGTCAGCATCTGTAGTTTTGTTTGGTTGCGCCAGTATTTAGGGTAATTATATTAATGAGAAGTCTCAGGATACAAGGTAGAAAATGCTTTCCTGATGGCGGAGTAAACAGAAAAAGGAAAGAACACACGGGAAGATGGAAGCGACTGTGTCTTACACGCTGCAGAGTCTTTAACTTTCCGCGCTCTGAAAAGGGACATTGAAACCGAGCCTTCCCGAGAAGAACAGAGAATTGCAGGGGAGGATTCGGAGACGTGACTAGGAAAAGTCTCTCTCAGATGGAGGTGACATCCGAGACTCACCTGCGTCATCGATACGGGAGGGAGACAACGGAAGCAGTGACCAGACACCACGTCTCGCGCGTCAGACGTCCACGTCCAGTGACGCCGTGCGTTGCTACCCCGCCTTTCACGCGTAAGGAGACTGAGGCCCAGAGAGGTTAAGGAACCTTCCCTGGGTCGCCCAGCTAGGACGACGCGGATCGAGATTTGAACTCAGGACCGCGGGCCGCTCTACGAGTCACTGATGTCCCGCGCCCTTCCAGCTCTGCGTTTTTCTACAGATCATAGGACGGAGACGGAGTAACAGTGCCTGGTGAAGATGAGTCACGGTTCCGTTACCATCTAACGCTGTATCCATCTAGAGATGCTGAATTCCGGCTTGAAAGTCGTCTTAACACTGGGGAACGGAGGGGCAAGGGACGGAACCCCTGAACCCAGAGGCGCCTGCAGCCAGAGGGCCTCTGGAGCCTTCGCCTTCTGCTTTACGCCCGTCTGAGACGGGCTCCCGGCCACTTGGAACCGAGCGACCCTCAGCATCCCGCTTTTGATTGATGAGGCCGCTGAGGTTCCCATTTAACATCACAGGGGCGAGACATCCATCTTGGTCGTCACGTTAATCTCGAATGAAAAAAACAGATCCGCGGGAGACATTAGGAGCCGGCTCTTCATGCCGCCGGCATAAACGGACAGGCCTCCGGCGCCCCGGGCCGCCTGGCTTCCTGCTTCCGCCGGGAATATGCAGATGAATAAGCTGTTTCTTCATGATCTCGGGACGCCCAGCAGAGGAGAGGGGGCCAGCCACGGAGGGAAGATGTAGGCCGGGCAGAAATAACCGCGCACGTGTGGCATCCCGGGGGAGCCGCGTGTGCCCCGGAGAAGGTGGTCACGTGACGAGAGCAGCAGACAGTGCGGTGGCGGGTCCAGGTCGGGCAGGGTGTGAAGGTGGCATGCAGCGGCGGCCAGATCTCAGAGGAGGCGTTTTCACGAGGCCGCGCAGTTCCGAGGGGCGCACGGCGTCTTGAGGAAGGGCGACCAACTCGCATTGAGTTTTGTGGCCGTTTTCGAAGTCTCTGCAGAACACAGATGCCCCCCGGCCTCCCGCTGCCCCTGCCCTGGGGTATAGTGGCGCTGGGTGCCGAAGGCGCCGAAGCTTGCCATTGCTCCAGAGAGACGCGCCTTCCTGCGGAGACCCACGGACTGAAAGAGGCAGGTGCGAGGG